ATCTATCTATCTATCTATCTATCTATCATCTGCCATCTCTCTCTCATAATCTGTCCACCGTCATCTTTCTATCTTCCTTCCTACCTATAATATATTTACATATGCAGTAAGAGTACCAGTCTTGGTAGCTTAGGAGCACGATTTTTGGAAGCCTGAATATTAGTAAACTTCTGAAATCTAGACAAATATTTATTAAGATAGCCTACTTCTGGTGCTGAAGAGATGGCTCAATGGTCAAGGGCCTGGTTTCAAATCCCAGCACCGACATGGCACCTAACAACTGTCTAGGACTCCAGTTCCAGGGAATCCAACACCCTCTCTGTCCTCTGTGGGCTTTGCATGACATTGGTGCACTTACATACATTCAGGCAATACATTCTTACACATAGAAAATAATAAGTAAAAAATTTAAACATGATTACTCCCTCAGATATACATTCTTAAATTCCAGCAAATTTTAAAAGAAGCAGGAATTTATAGAATTTCAAGTAACATTCTCAATACTGGAGATAAAAATAGGAAACAAAATAATCATGTTTCATGCTTTGAAGGTTTCCAGGTGCACAAGAAAGATTTAGAATCAGGATGCCATTCTCCAGTCTTCATGAGGACCAATAAGAGCAAACACAGGCTATGAAACCAGATACCATGCGAGAGTGGGTAGATTATCAGAGTGAAGACTTGTAGCACTGGAACAAACATTAAATGTGCAAGGTTTTCTGGAAATGTTTATGTTGATTCCCAAAACTACTGATTTAAGAATCCATCTCTTTAAATGGCAACAGGTCAAGTCTCATTATGGTAAATGAAGACATTCATCTAAGTGTTAATATCATATTTAAAAAATATTTCTCTACTCTTCATGCTGGAGGAGTTAAGTGAAGGTTGAAAGAGAGGCTCCAATTTATCTCCTCTTTGAATAATACCTTCTGTTATCTCAGGTCAAAATAAGCCAGTGTTGGTGGATGAATGACACAATTAGAAATGTGATAAACCACTGAGATCAGTATTTCATCAAGACTACTTGTTCAGTGATATTTCACTCAATTAATTTTAATGTTTCAATATGTGAACTTAGTCATAGCCTCATTCTGCAAACATCTTTTCAACCATGACTACCTTGTTCTGAAAATGTCCCATCCTCTTTGATCTTTTTTCTCTTTACAATGGGCACATTGCTGATGATATGATGTCACCTGAACAACTTACTGTTACTTATTAAAATCTCAGTTTTACTGTTTTATTTTCTTCCAGGTTTTTCAGGTCTTATTCATTGTCTTTTTCTACAGACACATCAAGAATAAGATATATGCAGAAATGTGATCTTGGATTTTCAGTTGTTCATAATAAACCAGTTAATTCACACACACACACACACACACACACACACACACACACCAAAAAAAACCAACCACTTTATATTTTTTTATTGTGCTATGGTTTGGATAAGTGTCTCCCAGTACCCATGGGTTAAAGACTTGATTCCTAGCTAGTAGCTCCACTTAGAGGTAATGGAGTCTTTAATAAGTGAAGCCTGATGGGATATTTTCTGGTCATTGGGAGTGTGCTCTTGAAGGATATGCTGAGACTCTAGACACAGCCTGCCATCCCAGGAATGAACTCAACTATTACTTTCACCATAAGTTGCTTGCAAAGATGCACTGCTTCACCATAGGCTGAAAGCGACATGGATAATCACATCTTTGAAAGTGTGAACCAAAACAAACGTCTCTTCTTCCTAAGTTGATTTTTCTCAAGTGTTTGGTAAATTAGTGAAAAGATGATGAAAACATTCCAAAAATACTTTGAAATAAATCAACTAAGTTTAGGACTCACTCAAGTCACTGATATATCTCAAATAATTTAATTATTGACCATTGTCCTAAAAAGTGATAAACAGTTCAAAGTGTCAATGTTTTCAGGTCAGAACTTTAGTTTGATTTATTCCCTGGATTTAGATGATATTCTCATGTCTACTGGATTTAAAATGTCACCAAGTATCACCATTTCTTTTTTATTTCATTTACCAAACTATACAAAATTCGAAAAAAATACTAATTAAGGGAGCAACTGTATATATAACATTCATTTTTAAATATTTAGAAGACAGTGCTAACTTACAGTAGTTAAATCACAAGACAGAAATTCTTCATGACAACTGTATTCCAGATTCATCACTTTTTAGCCTTTTTTGATCATGCTTACAAGTGAGTAATAGCTTCAAGATTGGAGAATTGGGTAAAAATTGGTGGTAATACTACAATGTGATCATAACTGAATTTAAAAAGTATTTATTTATATTTTATGTATATGAGTGCATTGCTTGTAAGTACACCTGTTGTTATGCAGTGCCCATGGAGATCAAAAGAGGGCAATGGATCCCCTAGAACTGGAGTTATGGATGGTTGTAAGCTGCCATGTGGATGCTGGGAACTGAGATCTTCTGCAAGAGCAGCCAGTGTGTTTAACTTCTGAGCCATCTCTCCATCCCTATTATGGTAGTTTCAAATAAAATTAATTTATTTTCAAAGGGATCAAGAGGTAGTTTACTCTGAGCCTCACATGAATAACCATTGCTCTGAAACATGGATGCAATCTGCCATAATTGATATGTTCCAGCATGTGGCATTTAGTCAGTATAAATTATTGCATCCATTATGGGAACATGAAGAATTCGGTTACAACAAATAAAGGAAGCCTCTGCTATACGTTTCAGATGCTATTTAATGTCACCCTTAGTCTTTGAGTTGGTGGAAGATAATTGTCTGCTCTACTTAATACATCACAAAGTTCCAAATGATAATCAAAAGGATGTTAGATCAAATACAGAGGAAGTAGATAAGTGACTATTAAGGACACTAAAAATAAGCCAAGATAATTTTGACTATGGATCTGCAATATTCTATCTCCCTACAATCTAATCAGGCTGCAGAATCCCAAACATGGGTGTGATATTTTTCAGGGAACTTCAGTTCATAGTTCCTCCTCTTGTCCAAGCATCACATTATGAACATATGGAAGTCAGTTAGGAAGGCTCAGTTCTATGATATTATAAAAATGAGACTAAGCAAAAGTAGTCAGTACTCAGGAGACAGAAATAGCTGTTAAAGTAATTAAGGAATAACTCTCAGACGCATATTATTAGCCAACATGATCCAGGTGTGAGTTTTCCTTTTTTCTGCTCTGTGTATTTGACATAATATGTACATGCACATGTAAGAGGGTTTTAATATTCAAAGTTTAAAAATAATCAAGGACACGTTTTGGCTTGAGAAAGTAAAGTTAGTCATGTAGCTGGAGATGGCGTTCACCTGTTCTGAAGTACACACTGGAGAGTCTTTAGGAAAGAGTTGGCACAAGTTTGGGGTGAGAAATACAAGTGTACAAGTTCATCTTCGAGGTGTTTCAATACAAGAGGTGGTTAGGAGTACATGATGGGGTCCTTTCAAGCCAGGGTAAAAGGAGTTTAGATGTGAAATGCTTTCCGGTTGATAAATTAACCCAAGTTTAGCTATTGATCGTTTAATTCTTCATCTCCTTTAAGCTCACTGATCAAAAGATTGTTAGATCAGATACAGAGGTGGGAGATAAATGACTAATAAGAGGGCTGAACATCATCCAGGATAACTTTGACTCTCCTTTTGCAACATTCCTGCTCTTCACAATGAAGGAAGTGCTAATCAGTCAGTCTATAAAATTTTCAACATTGATATAACTTTTTCAGAGAGCCTTAATTCAAACTTTATAGCACAGGTTTGCCTGGAACTCTCTGTGTAGCCCATGCTGCCCTCAAACTCATCACAGTGCCCTTGTCTAAGCAACCCAAGTGCTTAAGATTTCAGATGTGAACTACCATGCCTGTCTTGACTTCAAACTCCGTTAAACTAATTTTGAACAAAGACATAAAAATAGAAAAATTGTGCCTTCTGTTAAAATTGTACTTATGCACTGTAAAGAAAACTGAATTCTCTCCTACAGCAAAACCAGTCTGTTCTAAATGATTGTAATAATGTTATACTGCTTCTTCTTTTCATTTTCTTACTCCCTAAATTTCTTCACTGCATGGTATACAATTTCCTGAAGACTAAACAAATAACCCACCTATAATTTTTTCTAGCCATGATATTATGAGGAGGAATCAAAAGTGATTTGAAAATATTTTTTAAGTTTTATAAGATCTGAGACACTGTTGCTGTTGTCCTTAATAGTAAAAGGCTGTTTGATCCTGAAGAAATACAAGGTAGATTAAGTGATGATGATTTATCACTTGATCCCCCATGGAAGGTTTATTCTCATTTGCTAAGCACTGGTTATTTTCTTTTATCCATATATTCAGAATATTGAAGATTACAAAGACCATTCACTTTGTGAAGCCAACACTAAAGAAAATAGAATGGCCATCTGCTCTGAAGTAATCTTTAGGCACAGAGATGTCAAATGACATTGCCTCTAATCTTGGAAGAATAGTCTCTAGATATTGAAAACATCTTCAAATTTCTAGTTTCATTGAGGTATGCCAAGAAATAAATCGCAACAAAACTTTAGAGTACCTGTGACATTTCATTTTTATCCTTTCATTTATTTTTCTTCATTTCTTTTTAAAATTTATTTATAGAGTATCTCATTAGCAAGAATAATACAATCTTTCCAGTATATCAATAATTAATCATTGAACAACAATGAATTTTAATACAATGTACACAAATAAACAAAGTCGAGCAGAAGCTATTTTGTAAGCCGTCAAATAGAGATTAAAACTTCATATTTTTTAAAAAATATTTTATTTATTATTTTTTTATGTGTACGAGTGTATTGCCTGCATGTATGTGAGTGCACCCATGTAGTGCAGTGCCGCAGAGGTGAGAAGAGGGCGTCAGATTCCCCTGGAACTGGAGTTAAGGTCGGTTCATAGCTGCCATGTGGGTGTTGGGAATCGAACCGGGGTCCTCTGCAAGAGCATTCAGTGCTCTTAACCACTGAGCCATCTCTCCAGCCCCAAATCTAGCTTTTGGAGCATAGTGAATGTATTTCTGTATAGGAGCATATACAGTATAAAGAAAGTATGAAACGATTGTTGAAATTCAGTAAAGCTTATTACTAATTATAGTCAAACATAACAGAATGAGATTTATGAAATGAAACAAGCAAGTTTTCTGATTTTTTAAAAAATCATCAATGGAATACACATTTTATTACAAGGAACAAGTTAAAGGATACTAAACAATAGAATACATCTGTAAAAATCTCTATATAGTTTTACAAAATATATACATGTGTTTAATATGTGTATATATGCATATATAATGATTAAATAATATGTATTTGAGGTATAAAAGGATATTGTGTGACAAAACAGGTTCAGATTAGATTTCACTACCTGATGTCACTAAATACTAGGTAGTGAAAAATAGCTACCTTGCATTGATCACAAATTTAAATCAGTTGAAACTTCTGAAAATTTCCCCACATAAAAGTACAAAATGTTTTAAAGATTTAGAGGTGTTTTATAGGAAATATGACAATACAATGAATAATCTCAAATTAACAACAAAAGATTCATGGACTTGGTAAAGTACTTTTCTATAACAAAATTAGATTTCTGTGAGGTATAAATATATTCTGAATTTTATGGTTTACCTTTAAATTTATTACCCTATAATGCTCACGTATAAAACATGTGTATGGACTCCATCCTTGGAAGTGAACTTTT